GGCGGGCCCGGAGCCCACACCCCCCCCCGGGAGAGGCAGCTGACCGCCGAGCAGAGCCTCGGGTGGGGGGCCGCCTCCCGCCGCCTCGCTCAGGGCGGGTCCCGGGGGTGGCGGGGCCGCAGCCGGGCCCTGGTGGGCCCGCAGCAGGGCCCTCCACCCTCCGCCGCCTCGCTAGCTCAGCACTGTTTGTTTTTAAGGTTTGGGTTTTTTTTTTTTTTTTCAATAAGGTGCCTTTGCTTATCAGAGAAAGACAGAGAGAGGGAAAGTGAGAAATCAGCCCTCAGAGGGAAGAGCCATGCCACAACCCCTTCTCCTCCAATCTCCTCTCAGGATTTTGGATACACATGCACACACGCCTGGCATGATTTTCAAGCCCATGGGTCCAGGACTTGAACCTCCATTGGCCATATGGGAGTCCAGTACCTTAACCACCACACCATCTGCTGACCCCAAAGTATGTAACATTGACACAAAATAAAATGTCTTCAGTTAAGTCTTTTGTATATTGAGCAAAACCTATGAAAGAAGAAAATGTATCCCACACAGAGTTAAGAATAAGAGCCACGATAAGAGCCACTCAGGAAAATGGTAGGAGTGGATGTCAGGCCCAGGCCCAATGCCCAGCTGTAGCTCCACTCAGGCCTGCTGTGGCCCAGGTGGTTGTCCATCTGGGTGGTCACCTGACAGGTCTGGGGCACAGCTGCTCCACAGGCTGCCATGAGAATCATGGGAGGAAGCCGTCAACACTGTGCCCCTCATAGGGGAAGCCTGCCCAGTAGATGGTGGGGAGAGGGCTCGGGAAAGAGAAGCACCAGCAACCACAGGAGAAGCAGTACTAGATCTACCGGTGCTAGCAATGACCAGGAACGATCGTTAGCTTCAACCCACAAAAACGCGTCCCTTCCTTTCCCCACTTCTGCAAAGGGCTACCATGAACACAAAGGCAACGCCCTGGAGTCCATGTTACATGACAGGGAAAGGCAGGACCTAGCTCTTGATCACCATCTGGCTCATCAACTGGAATAGCTCCTCACATCCTGGATGACGAAGGATGGGTGCAAGCAAAGACTAAAACAGAACGAACTGGCCTGTTCAGTTTTCCTACAAACACTTTGGTTTTGAATACCACTGAAATAAACCCTT